TTAATTTTTTTGTAATTAAATACATTTCTACAGAAGTGTCTTTCCAGATTACTCAGGTATTCATCTGGACAGCCAGGAATGGCTGTGATGCTCTGAAGGACTTATCCATAACAGTCCTCAACTCATGCACAGCTGCATCATTTGTATCCTAACCTTAATACACTCTCTCTATTAATAAACAGAAAGAAGAACACACCCAAAAAAATCTCAAAGTACCAATTTAATTGAGTCAAATCAGCAATATATTAGTATGCCATTTTTACAGGTGTTTTTCCTCTGGTCTGTTCAGACGGACCCTGGTTGAGCACATACCTAGTAAATATGGTAGGCCTTTCAAACAAAGAAAGAGGCAAACTCAGTTGTTTTCATAATTAGCATGGTTAAACATAACAATCACACTTAGAAAGTCTGTCTAAAGCAATTATAATTTAGGATTTCCAGAGTCTAGAAAAGAAAATTTCCTATTTAGCATTTTACTGGATGGAGATCCTCTAGGGTCATATCTACATCTCAACTCACAGGTGACAAAAGTCTTGAAATGTATTTTTAAAACAAAACTGTGAAATTGTGCTGAACACAGCACAAGTCTTTGCAGAGCTATGCTGGTGTACAGAATTTGGCACACCCATTACACAGCTGCTCATCTGTGAGACAGGACCAGCACTGGATTAAGAGAGATTCACAGCTCAGGACTTTGCTAACTACGGTCAGGAATTGTTTGGAAGTGTCATATTTTCATTTCATGATGTAAATATTTTAATTTACAGTATGTGTTATTAGATCCAAACAGTTTTAACTACGTCTTTCTTAAAGGACGTTCATTTTACTAAGTTATTTTGTCATGACTGTGTACTTCCTGCCTGAACTCTAAGCAGGCAAAAAAGTACAAACTGCGTTAGTGTGACACAGATTACTGGGAAACTGCTGAAGCAGACCAAAGAGTTGTTTATTGAATTTAATTAGCAGCTTGGGACTTAGTGGTTCATTTTTGCTTTCTGAACCTCTTTTAGTCACTGTTGGTCTGTCAATCACAGTGGGAAATGCAAGGGCTGTAGTGTTCCGTGGGAGGCTGGCTTCTGCTTTGGCTGCCTCCAAGGGGAAGGAATGTCCAAGTTCAGGATGTGCACCACAAGGAGGGATATCTCTTACAGTTTCAACTCTTCAAACTTGTATAACCATGCTAGCTGTAATTTGCAGAGAAGTTTCCCATTCCAAAAATCGAAGCTGTCTGGAGATACCAGAGCTTGGTGGGGCAGTTACTTAAAAGAAGAAATAGCAAACCTGGGTTTTTTCCACCCATAAATGAAATGAGTTAGTTAGGAGCTGTGAGGCTGAAAATGTCCTGTCCCCTGGGAACTTAAAAAGTGCAGGCAAAAAGTTTCACAATATCTAAACTAATGCCCAGTGGAAAACCTTTATGAAACAACTAGTGGTTGTCTGTGACCCTGCAGATATTTGGCAGCCCTACTGAAATTACAGCGTCATCTTACATAAATAACATAATGAGAAACAGGTAAGTAGAATACAGGAAAAGCATTCATTTCTTGGCAGTTGGATTCGCTCCTCATTTGCTTACAGCTGTCAGAACAGTTGTTGTTACTGAAAAGCGTGAGCTGTTTTCCTGTGGTTGCCTGAGTGGGTCACGATCTGCAAGACCATAACTTGAGCAGAAGGATGGGATTATTCATCTTCATTTAGTGCAGATCAGTCAGATGGTAAAGGACAAGAACAGAGCTCGCTGTTAGAAGGTTCTCTGCTTCCGCTCCGTAACATTATCGATTCAACCCCAGGTTTCACCAGTGGGAGTCGTGGTATTTTGATGACATTTCCTAGGAGCAGCTTCTCTTCTGAGATCACGAGATAAGAATAAGGATAAATTGTGCATTTACTTGATCATGCCATTTGACTTTTAAAACAATCTTGGCTGGGTCACATTGAGAAATGGATACTTTTCAGCTGCTTTTTCCTAAGCAGTGTTTTGTACCATTCTATTCCCCAAAATCTTTACTTTTAAGATATCCATTATCAGCCCAAATTATGTTATGGCTACTGGTTTTCTGCCCCAGATAAAATATGATATTGATGCAGTTGTGTGGGTATAATTCTGGAGGGAGCTTGCAGAAGCCAGGGGCCAAGTGGTCTGCCCAGTATTGGAGCAAGTTCAAGTATTTGCAGTTCATACCAACTGGGGGTAAATTTTTTTGGTAAAATCACATTTTAAATACTTATGGCTTAAGATGACCCAGGGCAGGCTTCCCTTCTAAGATTCCTGTGATTAAGTGAGGTGAAAACTGGTGTCATTGGAGAACGGAGAGTGGTCCAGTCATTGGGTGCTATTGAAGGATTCGCATGATTTACACTTAAACATTGTTTTTGGCACTCACTTTCTGTTTGACCTTGACCAAACTGAAGCAGACCCAGGTGCCTAAAGACACTTTAGTGTCCAGTACTCATTTGTTTTAATGGCCAATGAAATCAGAAGGCATTAGTCTAAAATGCACAACTTCAAAAGCTTTCTAGTTTGTTTTTCCACTTTCTCTCTTTCAAATGGAGATGAAAGCACTTCTCTTTCCACAGGAGTGGTGTGGCGATGCATACATTAAAGGCATAAGTGCTTGGAAACCATGATGATGTCTATATGCTTATTGCATTCCTTTTGAGTTTTGCCATTTACCAACTGTATCTTTATTTATCAGTCACTATTATATGCATCATAATTTCCTCCTCACAGGCTAATATTAACATCCCAATGGGAGCATTTCGACCTGGTGCCGGCCACCCTCATAAAAGAAAAGAATTTACACCTGAAGAAGTGGAGGAGGTAAGCACAAAAGATTTTTTGATTTTTTTCTGAGGAGAATCCCTGCAATACAATGGAAGCCTTTAAAGTGATCTTGTATCTCCACATACCAATCTTAGGTACCACAGCTGAACATGCACTCATCATTCATGGAAATAAATGACCACTTACTAACACTTCATGTATAAATAGTTCTGCTTTTGGTGCCAAAGCACCTATAGGAATATAAACTGTTTCAAAGGTGTGTAGCACTGCTTCCCCGGCGGGATGATATCTGCTGTCAGAGATAGGATTTCACCAGAAGTATTTGCCTAGATGGGAGCTGATGAGATACAGCAGGAAAAGTTATAGCAAGGCTTTGGAAGACTTTGCTGCTGCCTGTCGCCCTGTGGTGTGATTTATTGTTACAGCTTAACAGTATTGGAACAGGTTTTCAAACGCAATGCTTTTTGGAAGGTTTATCAACAAGAAGAAATTGAATGTGAAGATGCTTACAAGTTAAACCAGAAATTCTGAACCCATTTAACTGCCCAGGGGTGAAAATACTCCATTTTAGACTGAATTCTGTATTTTCATGCTTGTATTTTACAGGAAGTGTTTAACACTGAGTTTTGAATATAAAATCCAATTTATACCTTAACTAACATTGGTCACAAAGGTTATGATTAAACACAGATATCATATTTCTGAATCATACTAAAGCATCTTAATTACCATTAACTTCAATAATAAATGAGACCCTAACACCCACAGTGGAAGAAAAGGTAGTGGTAGATACTCCAAGCAAGATGAAAAAGATGGGTACTCCAGGTTTCCTGGCCAGTTTACTTAGTTTGTATTCACAATCCCTACATGAGAACTCATCCTGCTGGGCCAGAGCTCCCACTGCTCCTCACAGCCAAGGGCAGGACAGGCTACGTAAGAGCCAATGCTTCTTTTCTTGTCTCAGATTTTTTTTCTGAATTTTGCCATATTTTCATATAGTGTGCTCTGTGCTTTGTTTACAGAGAACTTTCCTGAAATAATCAAACCTAGGCTGACTTGGCTCTTATGAAGATTTAAAAAACAAACATAAAAAATTACCTTGAACACATATTGTGACTTTCTCCCTTGGAAAGGAATCAAAGCATATTCTCTCTGCAGTAATTAAAGTGGTGAAGGAGTGCATGTTATTAAGCAGAAACTAATATAGCATGTGTGAGTTCCAGTAGTGTTTGAGAAATAAAATAAGTGACTGGTGCTGATAATTGCATTTCTTTAGGTAATTGAATGTTGCTTTGTTTCTCAGCTGTATGAATACTCTCTAGGAGAGAGAGTATTATGGACTAGGAGAGAGAGGACATTATGGAAGTTCTTGGCCCAGGTTTTATGGGCACTACTTAACCAAACCAATGGGATTACACACTACAGAAAAAGATCTTGTTCTAGGAATAGAACAAAAATGCTACCAGTGAATTTGTAATTTCAATTTTCTCATCTTGTTAAGTTTTGCCATACAGCTCATGATTTTTAAGAGTGATTTTAGACAAATGCAACTTTTGCTAACAGTGCATAATCATTGTTAACTGCATTTTCCACTGTATTTTAAAGCATTGACATAGGAGATGAGGGAAATATGGATCTTACTCAAAGGGGTGGTGGAGTCAGATGGAAATGTATATTTTTGAAGGTCAGTGGAGCAGATATGTTAACATGAAAATAAATGGAGGGTGGGAATTACAGAAAATAACACTTCTTCAATCAGAGTATTCCCATGCTTGTATTTTTTAACCTGTATTGGATATCTAAGTGACTTCCAGGCTTCCTTCCATAAAATGGAAGGCTTTAGTCTAACCTCGGCTGTGTGCTGCACATGGAGTGAGTGATACAGGGAGCAGTGAGGTCACAAATAGCAAACTCCTGAGGCTGGGAGAGAACGCTGACAATTTATGGAGCACAAGGTCTCCAAAATGTGTACAAAGCTTGCACCACTTGTGCTACAAGAGGAATGGTATTGCACGTGACTTGAAATGGTATTTTTTTTACATAGTTTCTGCTATGTACTAATAAGTACTTCAGGGTTCAGAGAGTGCTTGTTTCTGCTGATTATTCAGATTAGCTGGGAAAACTGTCAAAGGAAACAATACAAGCTCATGGCATCTTTGACTACAATTTTGTGCATCCTTCCAAACAGCTTCTGTATCAATTTACTTATTCTGCTGCTGTGCTTTGCTACTGTTTCAGGATGTTAGATCATTAAGCCAGATATCAGGCAGTACATACAGTTCCTGGTGCTGAATTACTGGCTGGGATTTGAAATTATCTAGCAAAAAATAGTAAAATATTATTAGTATTATCTTGGATTAATTAACAGTGCATTGGCTAAAATGTGAGGAAAGATAACACAAGTGTACCGAGCCAAGAAATGTAATTATCACTTCAATTTTCTTATATCTGGTGGTCTTAGGAAAGTCCTTAAAGATCAGATAGGAAGAAAATGACAGTTTTCTACAATACCTTGTTTGTTTGCTACTTGACATTGCAGTCTTGTTCCTGATTAGCATATAGTCCATTAGTCAACAGAGGAAAAAAGAAAGGGGTTTACTGGCCAATAATATTTGACAAGTGATGTTGGAATTTAAAAAATTAAGTTAAATATTAAGAACCGACTGTTCACAGTTAATGCACCTTTTCAAAAAAGGTGGCTAATAAATCTAAATAATGATTGAACTTTAAAAAGCCCATCACAAGATGACATTCACAGAGTAATCAAAAATGAAAAATAATTTCATCATGAACTTATTTGTAATAAAATATAAATTAATCTCTACATGTACTTGATTCCTCCTGTATACCAGCTTTATAAAATACACAAGAGGCTGGAACAACAATAAACCCACGTCTGGAAATCTACTCCTTCAAAATATTACCCAGTCTAGGGTAGAAATGGTCTAAAATACTCACCTAGAAGCAATAGTACAGCTGAGGAAGTACCAAGGGCTGAAATACTGTGGTTCATTGGGAAATTAGCTGAGTTGCTCACTATTGTGTAATTCCTGTTATTTAACTGGCATTTTTACAGTGTCAGCAAAATAGCCATGCAGCACTACCATAATTCAAACATAAAATTACAAAACCCTATCTGGTCTTGCAAATGAGGTTATGAAAAGTTAAATTTCAACTCATGTTGAACTTGCATGGAGCTTTTGGAGTCCATAACCTACTATCACAGCTCTTCTCCAGAGCTGCAGAAGGGCATGATGATCTTCCTCTCCAAGTGTCTGGCAACTGTGAAACTCTCAAAGGAATTAGATGATAAAAATTGTTCTTCTACTTTTTTGTCATCTAAAATATGAAAAATTTGGAGTTGCCTTTAATTCTCCAGTCAGTTATTTTCTAGTAATTGCCTGGCACTTTAAATTCTTACCCATTCTAATCCTCATTCCTCTACACTGAGCATCTTCTGTCCTTTTTAGAATGTTGCTAGACATTATAGACAACAACCAACAAATCAACGTATCTCTTCATGCCTCCACCCTATTTTCCACTGGGATTGCCTTTAGTATAAAAACATCATTTCCTGTTTTTCAAATAACTGGTCTATGCTCATGATCAAGAGATTGTTTTTGCAGCAGGAAAGTCACTGGTGTCCTTTTGTGCAGAATGCTTCTGCTTCAACGGAGGAGGAGAAAGAGAAGAAGCTGCTCCCAGGAGCTAAGAAGCTTCCAGGTCCTGCTGTCAACTTGTCAGAGATTCAGAACATAAAGAGTGAGCTGAAATATGTCCCCAAAGCTGAACAGTAGCTGGAAGAAGCAGGTGAGTAGAAGAGAGCTTCTCTGCATGGCTCTAGGAGGAGCAGGCTGATCCAGAAACCTCTCTAAGTAAAAAGATGGCTTTTCAATTACTTCAGTGGACCTGGAGTCACATCCCATAATTCAAATAAAAAATATTAGAGGTCATAATTGGGATTTTCTGTTATTTCAAACATAGATTGTGTTGGAGACTATATCCAATGATATATGGCACCCATCAACCGGCCTGAAGCAGTCTATTCAGCATACTGAGAATTTGGTGTATTTGGAATATTGAAGCCACCTTAAAGCCACCTTAAAAATAACATATTGCTTCATAAGCACAAGTTTTGCAAAATATTGAACTTGTATTTTTACAATATAACCACAAATTAATGTTTTACAATGCAAATAAATTTATTGCAGTGATGGACAAGTAGGTCAATATTTTTAAAAAGTTCCTTTGGAAAATTAGTTATTTGATATTAAATTATTTATGTAATTCAAAATTTACCTACTAATGGTTCCATGTATTTGATCACACAAAGATACCCAATGCTATTTGTGGCACTCCAGGACTTTCTGTAGTCCAGCACAGGAAGGAGCTGTTGGAGAGAATCCAGAGGAGGGTCACAAAGGGGAAAGGAGGGCTGGAGCATCTCTATGAAAGACAGCCTGAGAGAGTGAGGTGGTTCTGAGAGAGGCTCTGGGCAGATCTCACTGTGGCCTTTCAGGACTCAAAGAGGGCTTTTAGAAAAGATGGGGACAGAATTTCTTGTCATAGGATAATGAGTAGTGGTTTTAAACTTGAGGATGTTGGATTCAGACTAGATGTAAGGAAGAAGTTTTTTACAGTGAGGGTGATGAAACACTGCACCAGGTTGCCCAGAGAGGTGATAAATGCCTCAACCCTTAAACATTGAAGATCAGGCTGGATGAGGCTCTGAGCAGTCTTCCTGGTCTAGTGGAAGATGAGTCTGCTTATTGCAGAGAGGTTGGACTAATGATGTTTAAAGACCCCTTCCAGCCCAAACCACTCCATGATCATTTTATTTAAAACAAAATATTCAGCACTTCAGTGCCAACTTCAGAAAAATTTATATCTGATTTCAAACAAGACCTGTAAACCTTTGTTGTTCTACATTCTGAATCTTATAGAAATTAATGATAATTTCTGTCCATGAAATTATACTTTTATTTCCTTTGAAAAGCCTTAGTCAGTAAAGATGTGTCAGGCACTTACAATGAAATCTCAGATGTACAGAGAAATTTTAATTAAAAAAAAAAACAAAAACACCACCCTGGCTACAGTAAGAAAAAGATAGCTGTGTCACATAATATTCACCTGAATTGCTAGCTGTGCATACTGACTGATAACTCCTTTTTATCCTGAAGAGAGGCAGAGGAGTTGAGCAGGAGAAAATCATCTGGAATTTACTGCACAGAAATATAAATGAAGACCAGAGGAAAATAGAAAGCAATGCAAAGGGGTTCTGGGACTGCAGAAGTGCTAAGAACCAGGAATCTTAAAAGAAATGGTGTATAATTTGAGTGCACTACCTCAGTGCACTCTGCATCATTAACTTATTTTTTATGTCCAGCATAAATACGCCATTTGGAAGGAAGGAGTGTATAGTCTTTTCTTGCTTTTACCCTGCTGTGTCATAATATTCCTGATATTTTAAAGATGCAATAGAGTCTTTCTCTTCAGGAAACTTGGGAAAAAAACATTTTGTAAAATGTAACATTTTAGTCATTTCACTAAAGCACTGCCCAGAGAAATATGAATTTTTAATGTGAGGCTTTAAAGAGGTTTTTTTCCTGTAAGAGATATTGCAATGTAAATTTAGCCACATATTTACTCTCAGATGATTGCTGTTTTTAACATTTAAAAGTTTTTTACTAATTACCTCACTGAGAATCTGACAGAAACATTTAGGGCATGCTCAGATGTTCACTCTAAAGTTTTCTACAGAAAGCTCAGTAAAGTAAAGGGCATCTTGAAAGCAGAGAGGTTATTATGAAGTAATTTTTGTCTCTGTCCTTCTTTTGATGTATTGGTTATCAGGTTCTGACAGGGATACAGATTTCTAGATTTTGGGTAGTGCAGTCACAGATCAAATCTGAAAACTCAGTTTCCACAGGAGCTCCTCGCTGGAGCCTGTGAGTTTGGATGTTGTTCAGAACTAAGCATGTGCATGAATTCCACATAAAATTGAGATGTAAATTAATCACATGCCACATCCAGCAGTCTTGAGTGATACTAAATCTAAGGAATGTCCCCTATAAGAGGAAATTCGTCAGATTCAGTGCTTAAGTTGTGACCTGCAGCCTTGTATAAAATATGATATTGTCAGAGAGCTGCTTTATGATTGATCAAGCAAATCCGGAGAAGATTATCTCAGTCTGCAAGAAATGCACAGTCACATATGCCTGATACTTTGCTCCATCTACAAGGAGGGGTTAGAAATCATCTTTTGGCTGTGATGATCTCAAAAGTATGGTGAACTGACTGGTCAATGGAATGTGCCTGTGCAGAGTGTGTACTGACAGATGAGGGTGTCCTTTGGTTTTCACAGTTTGGAAATTAATTCTCTCTTACATCAGTACTATAATCTTCTCAGATATTCACTACTGATTTCCCTTTGATATTATTTTTTTCTTTCTTGTCGTACTCTGTAGAAAATACCTACTTTAAACAGTTAGAATAACTCCAAATACTCTGGATAATTTCCATTATTCTGTGACCCTATAATATGGTACAATAAAAAAAATCACAAGTACACTTTAACATGCCACAGATATCAAAGCTTTTAGAACCACAGGAGGTAAAGTTATTTCCAACTTTACCTCCTGTATTGTCATATTTCATGCTTAGTTTCAGTAAATTGCAAGCTAACATGATTAACTTTGTATTAATTTTGATCCATGTTTTCTTGCTCAGTTTAGCAAGCAAACCCAGCAGCAAAAATAAGAAACCTACAACACATTAAGTTGGTTCATTATTTGCAAACCCATCCCTACATAATTTGCACTTTGGAGCAACTTCTGTTAAATATCTGTGGTCTTGCTCTTCACCAAATTAGGAAACATGAATAGACTTGCTAAGATCACAATAGTGAGTAGAAGAGTTGGTGGGTGGAATGTAATTAGGGAGATATCATGAAGCTGAATCCACTAAAGGCCATCAAGTACTCCTCAGTTAAGATATTACTGTAGTCAACCCTTATGGGGATCTGGTCTATCATCTATAATTAGCTAATTAGCATAATCTGTCATAAAGTTTTTTTTCTTCCATACCTGTACATGATGTGTTACATGCCGCTAGTTTTAATATACAACGTGAGTTATGATTCATTTCCCTTTTTCCCATCTACAATTTTTTTCTGCTCTCTTCACACCTGGACATTTCTACATGCACAGGAGTGAAGCATATGCAAAATAAAATAGTAGCAAAATATCATACACTAAAAATACATGCCCTCTTGAATAAGTAATGGTGGGAAGCATTTAGTTTGTGACAAATGGAACCTGCTGTGGCTGAGATTTATTGCCAATTGTTGTGATATCTCATGTGATAACTAGTATGGTGATTGTACTTGAAAATGGGCCTGAGCACAAAGTGGTATCTCACCTTAGAATACAGAGCATGTCAGCCAGTTACTTCTGCGACTCATGTTCATTCTTCATTCTGTGTCCCTTCACCTTTTGTGTCCTGAAGTGTGGAGGGCTGTGTAACAAATCTCTTTATGGTGAAGGGCCATGGAGTCTAAATGCTGGACTTTGGTTTCAGAGGACCTAAATCTTCAACTAAAGTGGTCTGGTCCTTTCCTCTTGAAGAACATCTTCTTCAAGAGGAAAGGACCAGACCAGACCACCAGAAATTTACTGTCTTGAAGTTACAAAACTCTCTCTCATGGACATAGGGGCAGCACTCCCAGCACTGTATTCTGATTATGTTTGGGGAAAAGAATTGTCAGGATCCCCATCACAATGTTGATGAGATGGTTTCTCACCCTCTGATACAGTACTTGCAGACAAATTGTTGTCTTTACCTGGAGCTCTGCTGGAGAGAGTGGTTTGATTGCAGAAGGTAGTTCTGTTGTCAGGTTACAGAAGCAAGGGGAACTGTATTTTGAAGGCTGAAGAACTAGCAAAAGCTTCCTAGGGCAGGTTAGCCTTTGCATTATGCAGAGAATTCTGCTCCGCATAAAATCAGAAATCTTGTCACAGAGCAGCCTCTGAGATTAGCATAATTTGAGGAAAAAAGAAAGGGTAAAAAACCCTAACAGAAGTTCCTTAGGGAATAAAGGTCTTATATCCATACACATAAGATGTTCCTTGGTGTTGCTATTAATTATTTACATTAAAAAATTTGTTGATCACCCCAGGCTAAAAATGCACATTATAACTTTGCCCACTAAAGATTTAATTACAGTTTCCTGCTATATATTGCTCTAAAGCTTCCCCTCAGTTAGCAGCAGCCATTTACCTCTCCTGGTGTCCCTGCTTTGACACACAGGTTAGTGTTTGCATCTTATTCCTGTGCTCACATGGATCAGAGGGGTACAGTTAAACTGCAGCACAGTTACAAGCAAGGTTATGGCTTTTTTTCTCCAGAAAAAACAACAATGCTTTGCTAGTAGAGGATCTCTGACCTGCTGTAAGCTCTTGAAAGAGCACTGCAGTTTTAGGAATATGTGTTCATTTAATTGAGTCCCAGCAGCCAAAGCTTGTGTGAGAGAAGGGAATCCTGCATCCAGAGAATGCTGTGGTAGGTCAGGAGATGAGATCTCCTGGAGTGGGAGCTATGGGCTGAAGAAGGAGGATGTGCATCAAGAATTTCTGCAGGACCCTCCTGCCAAAGTCAGAGGGGTCATGGGGAGGTCTCCTCCATGTGCATAAGTACCTAAAGGCAGGGTGCAAAGAGGACACAGACAGGCTCTTCTTGGTGGTGCCCTGTGGCTGGACATCCCCCAACATACTCACTGTGTGGCCAGTGTTAATTTCAAAGTGCTTCTTGTCTTCTTCTGTCTATCTATGACTTCCTACCATCCTGCTTGTTTTGATTCAGAACTCCCAGACCAGCAGCACTCAAGGATTTCACGGCCAGTTATCAATTTTGTTAGGTCCCTTCTTCTTGTAAAATTGTCCTAAAGAACTAGGTAGTTGAAAGCTTGTAGAATTTTTTATAACATATTTAAAGTTCTTTTGGTTTGCCTTCCAGTTTTTTTGAGTCTACTTAAGATGTGCTTTCAGACTTTAAAACAGAAGAGCTAGAAATTTCTTTTCAAAGAGAAAAATATAATATCCAGGACATTACAGTATCAGAGGAATCTTTGTAATCCTTTTACCTCCTCGAGAAAAAAAAAAAAAAATTTTTTTTGTTTCCCAGGGTTTCTGCAATCAGAAGAAAAAATTTAGTTGTCATGGTTTAACCCCAGCCAGCCACTAGGTACCACACAGGCACTCACTCACTCCCCCACCACAGCTGGGGCAAGAGAATTGGAAGGGTAAAAGTGAGAAACTTTTGGGTTGAGATAAAACCAGATTAATAGGTAAAGCAAAAGTCATGCAAGCAAGCAAAGCAAAACAGGGAATTAATTCACAGCTTCCCAAGGGCAGGCAGGAGTTCAGCCATCTCCTGGAGAGAAGAGCACCATCACAGATATCAGTGATGATGGGGCAGCACTCCCAGCACTGTATACTGATCATGATGCCATATGGTCTGGAATATCCCTTTGGACAATTGGGGTCACCTGTCCCAGCTGTGTCTCCTCCCAGCCTTCCACACACCCCAGCCCCTCATCAACATGGCTGTAGGAAAAGCAGAAAAGGCCTTGGCTCTGTGTAAGAACTGCTCAGCAATAATAAAAAACATTTCTGTATCATCAGCCCTGTGCTCAGCATAAATCCAAAATTTAGCCCCATACCAGCCACTGTGAAGAAAATTAACTCCACCCCAGCCAAACCAGCCCAATTTCCTCTGACATGGCCTGCAGCTGTCCTGAATTGAGTCTCCATGGCCAGCACAATGCTGTGGTAAGCCCCAGCACACACCAGGGCTCTGCAAGTCAAGGAGAGATTTCCTTCTCACTCTCTAGCTGAATTGTGGAAGAGGAGGGCGAGAACAGGCTGGATAGAGGCTTGAAGGTGTGTGTAGGAGGTTAATTTTGCCAAGTAAAGAGCAGGGCATATTCTTATAAACCACAAATGCTTCTACATAAACTAGTTAGGAAAAGAATCTGCTTTGTGGTTTTGGAAACTGACTAATAACTTCAAAACAAAGACTGAACAATCAGAAAACATTTCTCTTCAAAGCAAACTACAAGAACAGATGCTTGTATTTTTTTCCAAAGAAAAAAATAATTAAAATCTTTTATTTCCAAACTGTATATTCAAGCAGAGCTTTTTATTATTATTATTACTTGAAGAGACAAGCCCAAAGTAATACCTTGAAGAAATCTGTCCTAATTTTTAGATGAGTATGTTACTAACTGCTCTGTCTGCACCATACACAAGAGAGTTTGCAGACATCTTGAGATGGACAGGCTTCTACACAGAGACAGGAGAAATGTCTTCATTGAGCCTCTCCCTTTGAAACATTAATGCACTTAAAGTAACAAAATACTTCCAGTGCTAGCAATGTGGGCCCACACACCTCTGCTCTGTTCTCAAATGAGAACCATTTCCAGAAGAAAGGTCCGAGAGTTTTATCTGAAAGCTGAAAATTTTCATAGATCACTGATATTTAATAACTGCTTCCCTATGGTCGTCCTGTTCATGAACTTCTCTTAGACCCTTTTATAAAATAACCCCTCTATTTTCACTGGTGCTGTTCATGACAGATTTTCATAGAAAATAAACTTTACACTCAATTGCCTGAGTGAGATGCAATTTCTGGGCTGACATCCCTCAGAAGAAGCTTAGAAAGGCAGGAGGTCTCGTGAGATACCAGATGTTGAGGGATCAGTGAAGTGTGAAGAAGGAATAGAGTCAGCAGGCTTTTTCTTGCTTATCTCTGCTAGATGTGTTAAGAGTTAGCCCATGAACTACAGCATCTATCAACAGGTACTACTGGAATGCACTCCTATTGGAAACTTCAGAACAGAATACCAGGAGTCCCTAAAACTTCAGTTATTTGCTGTGTGAACAGGTCCAAGTATTTAGATGAATGTTCTGTGACTTGAAAGACACCTATCCCAAGTCATATGCATATAAATCCATGCAGATCTAGTTTTAACCAGGGAACTGTGGACATTAGAGCAGGAACAAGATCGTACTGATCACTGTTAGGGAGCTATGAGTGATATGAGAGCCATGCTGTTTCTCTCTTCCTGGAAACTGTCCTGCTGGTGTTAGGTATGCCTGAAGCAATCAGACACTGTAATGACAGAAATCATCTGAAACACAAAATAATAAGCAATTCCAGTCATTCCCACCCTATATAGTTCAAAATGTGTTCAGCACAAGGTTTTCAAGTGCTACATGGAAGTGAAAAGGCTAACTGCTTTGGAATACATGAAGTGTGACTTCCCACATTAGTAACAGCTCAGATAGTTTTATCAAATCTACATAAATTGTAGCCAATTAAGTTGACAGTATGATCTGAAATATCTCAGCTCTGATGTGATAATCAAACGAATTTTCTTCTAAATTTAGTGCCTCATCATTTTGTTTTATAGATTTTATTCATTTCATTTGATAGAAGACTGCCTAATTATGTTCTCACAGCCTTGTGCTTAAAAACCACATAAATTACTGCATTACTGTACTTTGTCATCTCTTGCAGAACTGGCTCAATGAGCCTTGTCACCCCTGTCCAGGAGCAGGCCATCTGCAAGTGTCCCAAGCCCTGCTTTGTACTCAGGACTACACCTGCTTCAGCCACCAAATTGCTCCTGGTGTGCCTTCTTTTAAAAAATGTAGCTCTTTTAGTGCCAAGGCTACCTCTGTTTCACACTTATTTGCAAATTTCTTCAGAGAATAACATTTTGTAGTGTTTGAGCTCACTGTGTATAGGTAGAACATCATATGTATGTAGAGCTCACCATGACACTAATCCCAAAATCTACTGTCCCTTTGTCAACACTACTGAGGAAATGCTAAGCTTCCAGTGCAGTTGGGTTTTGCTGACCCTATCTGCTGTTAATCTTCTAATTTCCCTTTGATTTGCCAAATATGCTGTATTTCCATGTGAACAAAGGACACAGCAAAAATGAGCATTTCCCTGCAGAAATACGTATTAGTTTTACTCTCAGTGTTGGTCATAATTTATTTTTCAAATTTGATTTGCTGCAGGTTTTAGCTAGCTGAAGGGAGACTCAGCTGAACTAACTTTTACTTCAACTTGGGAACAAGAATAAAGCCTTTTTTTTTGTCCTGCCATTTACTGCTCATAACAGTAGGGCTGCATTTGCTTCTGACTGCAATTGAGTGAGGTTCATGGACAGACATGGGTTCCAGAAAAGCATAATAAAGCCCTCAGTCTTGCTATTCAGAACTTACTCCCCCACCTTGGTAAAGTTGATGTAGCATTGCTTTTAATTTAATAATTCAGTTATTCAATGGATAAAAGAAATAAATGGAGTCCTTCAGCTTTTAGCTCTCCTGGGTCTTTGTTCTCGTTTATTGCCTTGGAGCACACCTTGTCTTAAAATTGCTGCTACTCCCACGTGAGTTTGCAGAGCCTTTCAGGGCACAGAGAAGCAATCTGGAGCAAATGATGGCAGTGCTGGGAAGGCACTCGGGGCAGGGAGGCGCTGGCCGGGGTCCCCAGCTCCAGAGATGAGCCCGGGAGGAGCGGCCGTGTCCGCAGCCGCCACTGGCAGGGCTGGGCACAACGGGGCAGCTGGAATTGCTTTTACTGAGGAAACATCAAAGAACAAAGAGCTCTCCCCAAAGCCAAAATGCTCCTCTTCTGAGGGAAGGATGACGACAATAAGTGGATATTGCTGTTTCAAAGCTTTGAAACGTGCTGCCTTTGTGCGGAAGATGAAACCAACACAAAGTATGTACTGAAATGGAAAAAAAATGCATATGCAAAGACTTGAAACCAAATATTTGAGCTAAAACAGGCAGAATATAGGGAAAAGGACACCTTCAGTTTTTCTGTGTTTACAAATTGCACTGCTCTTGACTGCAGTATCCTTCCCAAAGACTGTTAAAGATGAGATAGAGTATGTCCTCTGCTAAAATTAATGAAGGATCTCAGACCTCCATTAAATACTTAATGAAGGATCTCAAACCTTTTAATTTTGAATTTCTCAATTTCCTTGGTCTTGTGGTTTTGTCTGAAAATATTTGAATTGATCTGTCTCTTCAGGCTTTGAATAGAAGCATTTATTTTTTAAAAATATGTAATATTTCTCTCTTTCAGTTCTCAAGAAAAGAAGAGCTCTCTCTGTGAAGATGAGACATGTTTTCAGTTTTTAAATCCATTTTGCTGAAAGTTAAGAGAGTCTGGATGGCTATACCACACATGTACCCTTTTTTTAGTTTAAGCCCTTCATTAAAAAAGTAACAAATAATGTAATAGTTCATCTCTTTCTGCTTTTTATATGCTTCTAAATTTTTTATTCTGGAACCGAATCTTAATTCCTACTTTTTGTTTTGCAGTCACAGGTTATCCAAAGCAAGTAAAAAGTAAAATATTCTTTGATATCCATAGGCATTTCTTACATGTACAAAAAGCCAATATTTTCATTTTCTGAGATATGCCATCATATATGTGAATAATGGGGCAAATTAATTCTGCAGCTAAGTGTTGTCTGTCTCCAGTTACTACAGTTTAACACATTGCTAGACAACACCTGAGCCACTGCTGAGCTCATGAATGCTCCAAAGTCTGTGACAAATCATATTTGTGTTCTGCCTTACATGCGTAGAGAACAAGAACCTGGCCAAACCTGTGTTAAACCTGGCCACAGAACACCACAGGTCACTTGACAAGCAGTCGTGGGCCATGTCCAAGTGTGATCTGCAGCTGGGTTGAAGTTAAGAGCACCAGTTTCCCTGAGGCAGGATGACAAAGAGGGTGATCAGCTCCAACACCATCAATGCCTTGCTTTAATAGACACCATGGCTCTCAGAGAACCTGGTGCTGACCTGGGGCTAAAAGCCTCATTTTTGAGCTAAAGAAGCAAAGTCAAGTCCTTGGGGCTCCATTTCCAGTGAGATTTTTGGCATCTTAACCATATTCATCAAGGCAAATGCATGGTATAAAGTCATGTGCCACGGCAGAAGAGTACCTTGAGCCAATGGAACATTCATCGACATCCCCCAGCAGTGTCTGGAATTTTATTAGCAGCACAGGAACCAGATCCACATTGGGCAGAACGATGCAGGCAGCTCCAGATAAGCCATCCAGGATGGCAGATCAACACCTTGCCCTGCTGTGTTCTGACCTGCCCCAGGGAGACACTTCATCTCCCTGTCTCCCAGTGGTCTCATGGCCATGGAGGTGATCCTCTTGCATCATCTACCAGAGGGAAGAGCTGCCTGAACTCCAGCTTCTGTAAACACTTACTGGCCCCCTGGCTCCAGGGACCTGAAGTGCCTCAGACCCTGAAAGCAGGCAGGAGTGGAGAACAGCTGGCCCACATTATGGCACTGTCTCCTGCCTCAGTTGCTGTATCCCGAGGGACAGACGAAGGCCAGAACTGTCTTCCCCTGCCAGGTTCCTCTAGCATTACACAGGGATAAGTCCTGGCTCCTCCCATCGGGAAATTGGCCGTAAAGAGATGTACAAGGTTACTGAGAGAGGAAAATGGAAGTAGAGAGTCCTGTCTCACCCATAGTCCTCAGTGCCTCTGATCACACAGGTCCCTTCAGAAACTTTCTGCCTTGCAGAAACCCACACTTCTGTCATCTCGAGAAGATGGTTTTGCTTGTGCTGTTATGAACCCTTGAGACACTTCTGCAAGAAGCGTGGTGAAGTTTGTGTGGAAAGCTTTAAAAAAAATGAAAACAATCAGATTTTTTCCCCTGGAGCTTCAGCAATGTTTTCAAGTAAAGCCAGGAGACATTTCCTGTCACCCTGATTAAACAGTGTGAACTGTCTCCTCCAGATATGCTCCAATTTTTTAAAAAAGCAAATAGAAAAATTTGCAAACATGCAAGAGAAGGGATGTGCTGGTGGCCCCTCCCTTCTGCCTTGGCTCAGTGGTTATCACACATACACAGCCAGGAAGCATGAATAAACCAGGTCAGGTCCTTCTTTGCCTCAAAAGGATTAAAACCCACAATTCTTGCTTCCCTGGAGACTGCAGACTAGCTTGGCAGGGGGGCCCTTTCTAGATTTCAAGCTAAAGCTCACCTTCTGTGCAGAAATGAATTAATGTGCAGATAAGTCAGCCTGATGGCAGCTTAGCAATGTGGAGCTCAACTGGAACTAAGGAAACTTGCTTGCATGTGCCTTAGCCTGTGGATTACTGTGTGCCATGTCTAAAGGCTAATTTGTGTAGCAACAGTCTTCTTAAGCTATGATTTGAAAGAAACCAGGGTGGCTGCTGCTGTGTGTTTGTACAGTCTGATGCAATTTGTAGGTGCTGAGGGGGACAGTCTCTGTGGAAACCCACCAAGCTTCTGGGCACTGCTTAGGTTTACATGTCTCCCTGGCACTCAGATGAGCAAGGTTATTTAAGCTCAGGTCATTTTAGATGGGCATGAGCACAGTTTGAGGTTATGGTGTAGCTGGCTTGTGGTTTTGAGGACCACAATTTTGGATTTAAGTACCTGCATCCCATTTCCACCTGAGGCATCCAGATTGCTGGGACTGTCCTCTAGTGGTAAAGAGCTCAACCCCAAGGTTATTCAGTGGGAACCGTGCTCATGAATCACTTAAGTGGATCTGAAAATCACAGTCCAAATTTGAATCTTTAAAGTGCATTTTTCTCACTGTTGAGAATGAATGGGGCTCTGTGTTTCTGCAGTCAGATCCAGCACCTGTGTGGTACAGTTGTGTGAGTGCTCCAGCAGGAGCTGCTGCATACCTTCTGAGAGGAGCCTTTCTGCCAAACTGAGCAAAAGAAATATTTTCCACAGAAATTGTAGATCATGGCCATGCAAATTCAAATTGGTCTCTGGTGCCTGTTTTTTTAACAGCAGGTGATTCCTCTCAGCTTTTCCTTCTGTTTCTCTGTGGAAACATATTCTTTTTCTTTTCAATTTGTTTAGTCAGAAAACAATTTTCTGTTTTGAAACATGGTGCTGTGAGAAAGCTTAGTTCTCCCATATGTCTTCCAGTCAATCCCAATAACTCATTTCTAAATGCTCACCTGTCACAGATTGCAAATCAAATATTAACACGACAGGCAACATGTTGTAACACTTTATGTTTTGGAGAAACCTATCTATTCCTTGGAAAAAAATGGGCTTATATTTGAAACCCTAATAAATGACAAAATCCTATAAACACAACACACACACACACACACACACACACACACACACGCATGCACACACACACACACACACACACATATTTATATATATATATACACACTGGTCACTGATGTGAAAACACTCCATTTGTACTGTAGATTTATGGATTTATGTATTGAATATTAAGCTACTTGTCCATAGACAAAATGCCCCGCTAGCTGCAGTAGCTTTGAAGAAGTGAGGTAATGTGAAGTATTGAACATATCCTGTACAGACCAGATGTCAGAATACACAGTTTTCTAATGCAGTCAGTAAAATGTCAAGTTAAATTAACAGCCTGTATATAATGTCTTGGCTTCATGCTTTTCCATCTCTGAGGCGATTCTCTGGGTTAGGTGCAAGACGCCTGTCAAATTTCCCAAGTTGATTAAGAACTCTCACTTTTCCATGGCAAAGGAGCCATAAAACCTCAGATGAGGCTTAAATATGCAGAAGAAGCTGCAGAGACTCTGGGTTATGTAAAAACTATGTTGGGTTTTGAGTTGGCAATCATTTTCTCACCACCCTTTCCTTTTCCTCCCATTTGCTATATTTTTCAATATATTTTGCTTCATACAAAGTGCTAAGAATTTCAGAAAAGTATTTGCAAAGTGCACATAAACCACTAAGTCTCAATTTAAATGTATTGAAAATAAAACCACAGCCAACTTCTGTCTCATCTGTGAGTATATTTGCAGGGATGTGACCATTGTCTCAGGCCCTCTTTTTATTGCACGTGCCAGAGTTATGTTGAAAGAAAACAGGTGGATGATTAGCACCACTATTAATCATAGTTCAGTTGTGCTGTGATATTATCTGTAGGCATATCAGACGTACACTATATTTATATGGAACAACACTCACTGACACATTATGAATTCTGTGAGAAGAAGCCATATGACCAGGAGAAAGTAGCATTTTTAGAAACTGTAACTAGCACAGAGAATTAAATGTGGGTTATTTGCAGTACAGACTGGGTAAGGTGGCAGAAGAGGCAGAATTCATGATGAATAAATTGGGTATTGCTGCTCAAATAGAGATATCTGAGATTTCTTTTGTCTTTCTTGGAGAGGAGCATCTTCTCGATCACAGTGTCTTCAAGATCACAGAGCTTGCTGCTAATGCATTGAGAGCAAAGAAATCAGACTGAGGGAGGTTAGGGATAGGGATTGCTTCAGGTTTGGCAGGACTGGCTGGCCCCAGCCCCAGTGCTGCCCATCCCTGTTCCTGCAGTGCAGCTGCACTGAGGAACCACCTGGCTCCACACCAGCCTCACAGTCGAGAAGAAGCAACTTCCCTGCTTCCAGAGCCCAGCAAGGACCACTGAGTGTCACTTCAGCTGGCTGGGGTCTCTGGGCACATCTTCTCTTTCAGTGGCAGAGCAGCACACAACACTGGGTGTTACTCTCACAGAGCTTCAACGTGTCCAAGTGCCCACCATATCCCTGAAAAGTCCTGAAAGAGCCAAAATTACAGCAGAGATATGTTCCTTTCCTGAGGCTTCCAGACAAACACAGATCCTGGCAAAGCCCTCACTAGTGTTCACCTCTGGGAAGCTTCTGAAGTGAATTCTCTTTGTAACTTTAATTGCAGTTTAGTTTTAAAGTGGGGAGCACATCAGGCAGCAGCAGGAGAGCATATGCAGGACGATTTCTCCTCCCCAGGGTGGCAGGTCAAGGGGTGGCAGCCCTCTGTTCAAAAAGGCTCTGTAGAGGTTTGCTGCATTTTTTCCCTTTAACTCCAATAGCAGAAGCAGGTAGATTGTGCTGCTGCCCTTCTGTGTTTCCCTGGCTACCACAGAAATGTGCTTGTTTTACTTTCCCCAGCCTCTTTTCAATAGTACTGTAAAGGAACAGTGTGTCCTTCAGCTGCTTCAGCAATCTGAAGTGCTAAAAATGCAAAAAACTCTTTTCTGACAATGTTTTTTCTTCTTGTGCTTCTGGGTTTGACATTAATAAAGACCATTTTTTCCCAAGTACTAGTTTTCAAATGAATTGTGGTTTTGTCAACTCTATTGATATAATGATTTAGTACAGAACATTGCCCAAAGGGTTAATGGTGAATCGAGTTTATTTACACTGTTGATTGTTGGTAGGATGTGCGTTTGGGAATTTACT